TTTGGTGTTACACCGTCACTGGGTGATGGTTTTTTTTTCCTTAACAACTTCCCATTGCCATATGGAAATACTCTCCTTTAGAATGAGTTTCTGAACTCAGAGTGATGCAGCTTTGCTGGGCTCCAAATTATGCTCAGAGTGTGCTGTCTCTAAAAACTATGTACCCAGTTTTCTTGACACACTACACCAAATGAGATTTCCTCGCCTGACCAATCGCAGGGCCCATATGGAAAGAGTAAACGAGTGTGTTAGAGGGGTCATGGGTGTTCTCCCGTAGGTATACAGAGATGTGTGTTTTCCTGCCCACACCCATCTCCATTGTGCTCTGGCGGAGACAAATGACCACACCTAATTTCTCTTTCACTGCTCATGACCTTTTTCTTTCTTTGGTCCCCCTCCCCCACACTTGAAAGGCAGTTGCGTGAATGTGGCCCCACCCACCCAGGAAGTCTACAAGTTTAAACTTCTCCAGTTCTGGAATGAAAAGCCTTTGTAGGAAGGCAATGCTGGCAGCTGGGCAGAAGCAATTTAAAACCGGTCCCACCAGTGCAGCAAGAAAAGCAATTCACAGTCCTTGGATCTTTCTCCAAGTGTGACAGAAACAAACAGCCCAGTTGCCTTGAAAGGTCAGTTTAGTCAACTAGAAGAAGGTAGACACTAGCAAGAACCATGAAGCCTGCTGACACATGAGTGTTATGTCCTTGGAAGTGCATAACGGAGAGATGAAAACACTTCCGGGAGAGGAAACTCTTTAGTCAAAATGAGGAACACTGGCCAGAAGGATGATTTGAAATACTAAATTAATGAAAAATATCTTAGTTATTATAAAGTTCCACTTGAGATCATTCTAAAAGTTAACAGTATGGAATACTAGGTCTTAGATATTTAAATATATTTTATAGAAATTAGGAATAAAGTTTCAAAAACTTCTGATAACATATTCCTATTGATACTGAAATACCATGTTTATAAATATGACTATATGGATTTAAAAAGTTATCTGGAAATTATAAAATAAACCATTTAAAACAAAAGAAAGGGAATGGAGTTGGGTATGCGAGGAGGTGGGAAGGAGCCGGGAGGAGCTGGAAGGGGGGAAACATGATCAGAATATATTGTACAAAAAGTTTCATCAACAAAGAGAGACTGTAAAACAAACAAACAAAAACAATGGCCTGTGTTTGTTTGTTTTACAAACAAACTTTAACAGAAAGTACCGTTCTACAATACAGTAGAGTTTACACGAGAGTGCAAGTCAACAAGTCATGTATATTTTTCTTACTCATTAAGTTTACATTATGAGAGGAGAAGGAGTGCAGGAATAAGAATTCAAAAGAAACACTGACTAACTAAAACTCGATGGTACTGTTACAAGCATCTGTTTCCCTCAAAATAGTACTTTACTTCATAACTTTTATTTTTCCCATACTGAGAATTGAACCCAGGCTCTTACACATGCTAGGCCAAGCCCTCCACCACTAAGCTCGCTCATATGTATGCTTAAGAGAAGTAAAACAGCTGGGGAGATGGCTGTAGGTCATGGCACTTGCTGCCAAGCATCACTACCTGAATCAATCCTGAGGTCCGCACAGTGCGACAGAGACCAGCTCCCACCAGCTGTCCTCCAACCTCCGCACTCACACCTGAGCCTGCTCATACCTGAACCTGCTCATACCTGGGCGTGCTCACACCTGAGCGTGCTCATGACCACCCCCCAGTCATGCACTAAAGAAATAAATCTGATGAATACCCAGACCCTAGAACCTGGGCTAAAACTGAGGAAAAGAAAAGTACCCTTTAGAAAAACGTGGATACAGATGTCCACAGGAGCATTATCTTCAACAGTCCAAATAGGAAGCATATCCAGTGTCTACCAACTGATGACAGGCTAAAATGTGGCAAGTCCACACAATGGAATGTTATTTGACAAGGAGAGAAGTGCTAAAGTGTGCTACAAAGTGGATTAACCTTGACATTTTAATACATAAAAGAAGCTACCAAAAAAAAAAAAATCACATTACCAGTCTCTATGTATATGAAGAGTCCAGAGGGGGTAAATTTAGAGACAGGAAGACTTGTGGTTGTACACAGCTGAGAGGACAAGAGAGAGAGAGTGGCTATGACTGACTAGGAGGTTGCTCTGGGAATGATGGCAATGTGGTAAACATAGATTATATGATGACCACAAAATTCTGTTGAATATTCTAAAACTATTCACTTGAGTTTTTCAGTTGATGAATGTTTTTGTATATGAATTGCATCTCTATAAAGATGTTTTAAGGGAAGCTGATTGTATTAACTTGTTCAAAAATTAGTTGAGTTTCTAGATCTAAGTAAAATTGACCACAGCTCTAATTTAATTAGACTTGCAACCCAAGAGTGTACCTCTGGAAACATTTGAGGGGAGGTAAAATCACCTAAATAAAGAAGCCTGAGGTGGAGAAGAGCATGAATAGAAATATTATGTTCAATAACAAAAACAATCTCTATAAGTTAAAGAGGACCTGAGAAGGTCAAATCTAGAAACCAGAAACTCACAGACAACTTCCTGTGAAGTCAGCAGCCCAGAGAGCGTGTTAACAGCTGCATGAACTATGACTCACTCATGGATCCCTCTGTGGGAACACAGCCTCTGTCAAACAAAGCAAAGAAATACTACAGAACAGGTTGGTTCCACAGAAAGAAGAATTCGGGTACCAAGGTACAATTCCAGCGACAAAATGTCAGGTCTATGTTAAGCGGCCTCATCTATACTACAAGATCTCTAGTGACCTCCAGTGGTTGCAACTGAAATTGCTTGCTTTATCGCTGAGACTAGACTGCACTGTACAAAGATTTGGTCTGTTATTTGTTTCTTTTTCTAGAAAGCTGAAAAGCAGAATAAAAGAAATCACAGCAAATTACTATAGTGAAGCATGCCTTCCTCCTGATCTTCAGACACTGACTGAAAAGCCTCTATTGGGGCTGGAAAGATGGCTCAGTGGTTAAGAGCACGTAACAGCTCTTCCAGAGGCCTTGAGGTTACTTCCCAGCACTCACACTGTACAGTAGCTTACAAATGCTTATAACTCCACCTCCACAGGATCTTCTGCAGGCTTCCAGACATCCCCTCCCTGGACACATACATATAAGTACAGGAAAATAAATATTCCTTAAGTAAAAGAATCTTCACAATTCATCCAACACAGAGAGCTGTCTTCTTCCAGTGAAGCCTGCCAGGAATCCTCAGTGAACAATCTACTCCAAACCCACAGATGCAGGAGTGAGAGGCCAGTGAAGAAGATTTTTTAAAAAGTGATCTCAACTGGTGGGCAGGGAAAGGTGGGAGAAATGGTAGGAGGCAATTTTTGAAGTCCAAGCCAGTTTGGCCACACTTACTTCTTAATGATTTTGATAATTGTATAAGAAACTGAAGGTTAGCCTCTCCTTGAGCTCCAGTGAAAGGAACTAACCCCAACTGATGACTAAACAGTAGGAAATAAGCCACTTTCTAGAATCCTTCCTACAGGTTTGACAGTCCAGTTCTCTGACAAAGAGAACTGGGTAAAGAGTTTCACTCCATGGACAAAGGACAACATCTCAGAAATACTGTTCTGCTATGATTGTTGGCCAAAGTTATCAGCAAGTATCCAAGACAAACTCACCGTAACCTCTTTGGAGATGAGTTCTGCAAAACCATTTTTACAGGACCTGCTGTTGCCCATCTAGGTTCTTCAGTCAGGTCCAGGCACACTAAGAGGCTTTCTAGAATATTCTGGTTAGCCACACATCGTGAGTACCTCCAGTTTCACTCATGAGAGTCCACTTCTAACATTTAGCTGGCTGTTTACTAGGCCACTGATTGCTCTGATGATCTCCTGAGTCTGATGTTTGCTCTGCTCACTGGAAAGTAGCTTCAAGCAGCTGAAGAATTGGGACTTCCCAATTAGAGAAAGCTAATACTCTCTAGAGCACTAATCCTGATCAGAACATTAGCTGCCCTGGCTGTGATTTCAACTAAGAAATGTCACACTATGCCAAAGGGGAAAGGAGGAATAAGAGCAGGAATCCATTAGCAATCAACACTGGTATGCTGTATGTCTTCCCATAACACTAAAGGCCACTAGTATTGTCCTTCTTTCTTTGTTTCTTTCTTTCTTTCATGTATTTCCTTTTCTTACATTATCTTCAGATCCATTCAGTATTTAATAATGATTTGTGAAGCGTCCTCCTATGTACCAGATATCCATCTGGCATATACTGCCTGTGTAACAGCTCCAGAGAGAATTTAATAGGCCAAGAGAATAAACCAAGCCACAGACAACTGTTTGCAAAACGAAACAGCCTCCCAACGGGTCTGAAGGTTTTAAGCCCCCAAGGCTCTGCTTCAGCCTGGAGGAAGAAGCAGGCACCAGAACCTGTTCATAAGCAGAGCAACAGAACAAGATAATTTGAACACAGGGAACTTCCCAGAGACTCATACTCCAACCAAGGACTATTTGTGGAGATAACCTAGAACTCCTGCACAGATGTAGCCCATGGCAGTTCAGTGTCCAAGTGGGTTACATAGTAATGGGAAGAGGGACTGCCTCTGACATAATCTGATTGGCCTGCTCTTTGATCATCTCCCCCTGAGGGGGGAGCAGCCTTACCAGGCCACGGTAGAGGACAATGCAGCCAATTTTGATGAGAACTGATAGACTAAGATCAGAAAGGAGAGGAGAACCTCCCCTATCAGTGGACTTGGGGAGGGGCATGCATGCAGAAAGGGGAGGGAGGATGGGATCGGGAGGGGAGGAGGGAGAGGCTTATGGGGGGATACAAAATGAATAAAGTGTAATTAATAAAAAATTTTTTAAAAAAGTAAAAAAAAAATTAAAAAAATAAAGTAGTAAAAAAAAAAAATAACCGCTGCCTCATTTTTTATGGGGAAAGAGAAAACTCCTTAAGGGTTATAGAAACATGCTACCATATTTTGGTTTCCTTAAGAATCAATAATTATGTCATTATGCTATTTTTACCTTAATTGTGATTTAGAGCATTGTGAAAGAATTGTGAATAAGAATTCCTGCCGTTGCTTGTTGGTCCAGAGGTCAAACCAGTGACTTATGAGAGTAACTCTTTCTTGAAAGAGCTGGAAGAGAGGAAAATGAGATTTCACTGTCCACTATCAAATGTTCTTAGTTGCTAAGCAGTCGGTCAACTAACAACCCCATGGTTGATATTTACATCATTCATGATGGTTTACAAGTGCTTTCACACAGGCTGACAGGTTTCTCCTCTCAGCTTAAAGCTCTTTTATATAGTAACACGGGCAAGCCAGGGCTTGTTGGGTAGGCCAGTGGGAAAAACCAGGGGGATATATAATTACAGAGAAGCTAAGGAGAGCCTCTGGAACACAAAGGGCAATGATGATTCACTTCTCCTGTTTTTACCTAGGTTAGTGTGGCCTAGGGCAAGAGTCCAAAGATTTCATCTTATCTACAGGCCATATTCACTGAATTGTGGAAGCAAGACCACTTAATATAGATTTGGTTTTCTTTATTCCTAGCTTTGGAGCTTCCTAATACTCACAAAACTAAAAATTAGTAATTAATACACAATGACTGTGTCTCCAGGGAGGATATACACCATGAACCAACACCCTTGAAAGCTGGCTTCAGCTCAGTTTTGCCTACACAAAGACACAAATTCATTGTCTTTATTACAGATCAGGCTTTCTCCCCCAACTACACCCACCCTCCTTCCAGTATGGAAGCAGCTGAACCTACATGAGCTGTTTCCTTTTAAAAGCCTGGGTGAGATTGCCCCACTGTTCAAAGAAATCTTCCTGAATTATTTTTCAAAAGAACAGGTGCTCTCAGGCTACACAGAATCACACAATGGAATCCACTGATTAACAAAGCACAGAAACATACTTGAAAGTGCCCTTGACCTTGCCCTACTTCCCTCCCCCACCACAGAAGCTCATGATGTCCTAGAGATGCAGAGAGCAAAGGGCAGCTGTGGTGCCTCCCTAGATAACAGACAAAGTCTTGGGTGAAAAGACACTCTCTGTGGGACATAGCCAGGTTCATGAAGAAGAAGAAGAAGAAGAAGAGGAGGAGGAAGAGGAGGAGACTCAAAAACAAAAGTATTTTTTGTTAAAATAAGACTCAACATACCCCAGTAAAAATAACTTTACACAGTTGAACCCATGTCTGCTCTAGAGTACGTAACTCACCTGTCTATTTAAGAACTGGTTGTTAAAAGGTGTCCAGGCACTGAACCTCGTGTGGAAACTCTCCACTTCCAGACTTTCTTGGAGAAAGTTCCCAAATGACATCTCAGCAAATTACTTTCTTCCACTTCTAAACACTATTGGTTCAATTTAACAGACATATGATTAGGAATACTTAGAAACAACCAAAATATTATTTTCTTTATAGGAATTATAGATTACCATTCCATTAATATATAAGTAAACCATTCCTAGAATTACCATTCAGATAAACACATAAGTATGGTAGATCATGAAAATATTCACCAAGTGTCCATGAGCTCTAAATCACTGCATTTATTCTGTACTTATATACTTGTATACAGATCAGAATCTAAAACAAGAGTTTTTACTTCACTGAGAGCTGTTGCTGAATCAGAGTTGGTATGTATTTATTTTCTATTGTTGCATTACTATTGCAAATTTTAATAGTTTAAAACATCAACATCAAACTTTTTTTTAAATCTCAAGATTTCTGAGGGTTAAGAATCCATGATTTCCTTGTTTTTGTTTTTGTTTTTGTTTTTTTTTTTATCACTGAGTAATACTCCATTGTATAGATGTACCACAGTTTCTGCATCCATTCTTCAGTTGAGGGGCATCTGGGCTGTTTCCAGCTTCTGGCTATTACGAATAAAGCTGCTACAAACATGGTTGAGCAAATGTCCTTATTGTGTACTTGAGCATCTTTTGGATATATGCCAAGGAGTGGTATAGCTGGGTCTTGAGAAAGCACTATTCCTAATTGTCTGAGAAAGCGCCAGATTGATTTCCAAAGTGGTTGTATAAGTTTATATTCCCACCAGCAATGGAGGAGGGTTCCCCTTTCTCCACATCCACTCCAGCATGTGTTGTCACTTGAGCTATTCATCTTGGCCATTCTGATGGGTGTAAGGTGAAATCTCAGGGTCGTTCTGATTTACATTTCCCTGATGACTCAGGATGTTGACCATTTCTTTCTTTAAGTGTTTCTCTGCATTTAATATTCCTCTATTGAGAATTCTCTGTTTAGTTCTATACCAAATTTTTAATTGGATTACTTGATTTGTTGTTGTTTAACTTCTTGAGTTTGTTATATATACTGGATATTAGCCCTCTGTCAGATATAGGGTTGAGTACAGGGAATCTTATGAAAGAAGTGGAGATAGTAAGACCTGGAGGGGACAGGAGCTCCACAAGGACAGCGACAGATCTAAAAAGTCTGGGCACAGAGGTCTTTTCTGAAACTTATACTCCAGCCAAGGACCACTCATAAAGATGGTCTAGAACCCTGCACAGAGGTAGTCTATGGCAGTTCAGTACCCAAGTGGGTTCCATAGTAATGGGGACAGGGACTGTCTCTGACATGAACTGACTGGCTTGTTCTCCCCCTGAGTGGGGAGCAGCCTTACCAGGCCACAGAAGAAGACAATGCAGCCACTCTGATAGACTACGATTAGAAGGAAAGGGAGGAGGACCTACCTTATCAGTGAACTGGGAGAGGGTCACGGGTGGAGAAGAGGGAGGGTGGTATTGGTAAGGGAGGAGGGAAGGAGGTACAGGGGGGGATACAAAGTGAATAAACTGTAATTAATAAAAATAAAAATAATTTTAAAAAAGAATAAAAAAAGAATCCAGGTATAAGACCAGAGAGCTGGCTTTGTGGGTGAAAGTGATTGTTGCATAGCCTGGTAATCGAGTTCTAGACACTAAGCCCCATGTAACCATCAGGTGTGGTGCCCACATCTGGAATTTCAGCACTCCTGTACTTATCTGAGAAGCTGAAACAGGAAAATGAGCCGAAACTCAAGTGTCAGTAAGCCCAGTGTATGCAGTACAGCAGCAGAAACAAGAGAGACACTGCCTCAGCGAGGTGGGAGATGATACTGAACTCTGACCTCTGGCCACACCATGGTATATCTTTGCAAATGCAGCCAGTACTAATGAATTTACCATAATAACATTCATTTTTTTGTGTATGAAATACAAGCTCTCTGTGTATATAAAACATTTTCGACTGCCATTTTTTTTCTTTTTTCCTCATGGCATAATGTGAAAAATAGATTTCCATCATTTGGTCCCCAATAACTCCATGCTGGAAGCCTATTGTTGATAACACAGAAGTTGGAATGCATTGATATTATCATGCATTGATAGTATCATGGAATCTTGTTCATATAATCAATTTCTAAAAGAAACCAAAGATTTAAGGGCTAAGTAACACTAAGCTTATGTGAGATCTTTCAGAGGAGGGAAAAAAGGGTGACAATTCCAAAACAAAACTTTGATACCAAATTTCAACAAGAACTTCCACATAAAAGGAAGTTTACTACCGTATATAGAGATGCAGAAACCATCCAAAACTACCAAATTAGATTCCTCCTCCTCCTCCTCTTCCTGCTCCTCCTCCTTCTCTTCTTTTTCTCTTCCTCCTCTTCCTTCTCTTCCCAGGGTCCTATATTGTAGGCTTGCCTCTAACTTGCTATTTACCTGAGGATGATCTCCGAACATATGATCTTTCTGCTGATGGCCTGCCTGAGTGTTGAGATACATGGCCATGCCAGTCCTCAGGGTTGCTGCAGGCATGCCAGATGAGTATTCAACTGGCTGAGCTACATCCCCAGATCCAGATTTCCTCTTGGAAATGTGAATTTGACATTATGTCAGATATACTATTATGACATGTACTACAATATGTCAAATATAATTTGACATTGTAAAATCAATGTACTTATCATCATAACCTAAATAAAAAGTTATGAAATAATTTCAGTAGACCCAAAAAAGTGTGTTTTATAAGCTTTAATATTTATTCATCTTACACACACACATACATAAAACCCTTAGGAAAGTAGCAAAAGGGGAATTTTATAATCAAAATACACTCCTAATATAGGAGTATATTTAAAAAATGTATGGCAAGTATTGAACTGAACATCAAAGTTAACCCTTTCTTCTGATTACAATTAGCATCTTTATTTGACATTTTTGAGTACTCTTGGCAGTGTGATCAACCAACAAAAAAAATTGTGAAAATAAAGTTAAGGGAAAAATAAAATTGTCATTATTAACATGTATGGAAAAGAATCAACAGATGTGGCGCTTTCTCAGACAATTAGGAATAGTGCTTCCTCAAGATCCAGCTATACCACTCCTAGGCATATATCCAAAAGATGCTCAAGTACACAACAAGGACATTTGTTCAACCATGTTTGTAGTATCTTTATTTGTAATAACCAGAACCTGGAAACTACCCAGATGTCCCTCAATTGAAGAATTGCACAATGGAATACTACTTAGCAATTAAAAACAAGGAAATCATGAAATTTGCAGGCAAATGGATGGAACTAGAAAAGATCATACTGAATGAGGTATCCCAGAAGCAGAAAGACACACACAGTATGTGCTCACTTATAAGTGGATATAATATAAGATAAACCTACAAAAATCAGGTAGGATTGGGAGGGAATGAGGGAGCGGGACACGGCTGGGATACAGAGTTAATAAAATGTAACTGATAAGAAAAAATTAAATTAAATTAAATTAAAAAGCACCTACAAAAATCTGTGCACCTAAAGAAGCTGAGCTAGAAGGAGGACCCTGGGTAAGATAATTAATCCTTACTCAGAAAGGCAAACGGGACAGACATTGGAAGAAGGAGAAAACAGGAAACAGGACAGGAGCCTACCACAGAGAGCCTCTGAAAGACTCTACCCAGCAGGGTATTAAAGCAGATGCTGAGACTCATAACCAAACTTTAGGTAGAGTGCAGGGAATCTTAGGAAAGACGGGGAAGATAGTAAGACCTGGAGAGATCAGGAACTCCACAAGGAGAGCAACAGAACCAAAAAATCTGGGCCAAGGGGTCTTTTCTGAGACTGATACTCCAACCAAGGACCATGCATGGAGATAACCTAGAACCCCTGCTCAGATGTAGCCCATGGCATCTCAGTATCCAAGTGGGTACCCTAGTAAGGGGAACAGGAACTGTCTCTGACATGAACTCAGTGGCTAGTTCTTTGACTGCCTCCCCCTAATGAGGGAGCAGCCTTTCCAGGCCACAGAGGAGGACATTGCAGTCACTTCTGATGAGACTGGATAGGCTAGGGTCAGATGGAAGGGGAGGAGGACCTCCCCTATCCGTGGACTTGAAGAGGGGCATAAGAGGAGATGAGGGAGAGAGGGTGGGTTTGGAAGGGAAAGAAGGAGGGGGTTACAGCTGGGATCAAAAGTGAATAAACTGTAATTAATATAAAAAATTTAATTAAAAAAAGAATCAACAGATGATTTGACAGGTTTAAAGAATAAGTCTAGCATGGCTGCTTCATAAAAGGTCAACATGCAAAACTCAATTTTATTTCCATATGCTCACAAACATTTTAAAAATTTTAATGATTTATGTTCATTTTCTGTGTACTGATGTTTTGGCTGTATGTTTGTGTGAGTGAGGACGCCAGATCCCATGTAGCTGGAATTACAAACAGTTGTGAGCTTCTGGGAATTGAACCCCAGGGTCCCCTGAAAGAGCAGTCAGTGTTCTTAACCACTGAGCCATCTTACCTGTTCCTCACAAACATTTTTTAAACAACAATGTATCATTTATAAGTAGCAGTTAAAATCAAATCCAAATATAAGGGACAAGCATTCCACATAGAATACTGAAAATGGTACCAAGAGCAATGTTTAAGCGATACAAAAAAGAACATGTATCTGTAAAGATGTCAGCTCTTCCATTTTTCTCTATTACTCAGTGTAATCTCAATTAAAATCCAAAAGGTGTTGAAAAGCTGATTAGAAAATGTATCTAGAAGAGCAAAAGATAACTTGGAAAAGAAGAGTCATGACTTAACCGCAGGATTTGTTTATTCTAAAGTCAGGATCAGTAAGCATGTGAAATAGTGGCCCAAGAACAGACAAAGCAACAGAATTCAACAAGTCCAGAAATAAATCCAGGTGTATATGGCCACTTGATTTGTGATCAAGGTGGCACTTAGATTGCAGAGAAAGAATGGCTCCACCCAGCATACATGGAGTAGGGCAATTTCCCCAGGTCACCCAGCTAGCCAGCTGAATCAAGACAATACATT